TAAAAAGTGATCAAGAGAGAAGTATAATGATTCGAAGAGCGCAGACTGCACGTATAATTATTATTTGCTCCTATTCCGCAATGGCAGTTGCATGGTTTTTTATCTCAGCATTGCCTGTTTTTGGAATATCAATCAGACTGACTCCCAACATTACTGATCCAGGAAGACCAATGGTTGTACAAACCCATTACATTTATGACATAACAAAGAGCCCGCAATACGAACTGACATTTATTAGTCAAATCATTTGCATACCAATTGCCATGATGGCCTACACTGGAATAGATAATTTTCTTAGTCTATTGGTTTTTCATATATGCGGCCAATTAGACATTCTCGAGAATCGTTTGGCACATTTAGACAAATATAAAAATTATGACGAAGTGCTAAAATGTTGCATAGCAAAACATATCCGTTTGCTCAGGTGTGTTATTTATAAAAGAATATGTACAAAATGAAATCTATATAAATATTTGTGGTAAAATGTATTTAGTATATTAAATATCTTTTATAGGGCTATTAATGTTATTGAAGATTCATTTAATCTAATATTTCTCTCCTTATTTATATATTTTACGATTCTCTTTGCATTTTATGGATTTCAGATAATTAGTGTAAGTATTTAACATTTTGTATAACAACTTGTAATAAAATATTGCTATATTTACATGGTATAGTAAAAATTATAAATTAATGTTATTTAAAAATTGTTTTTTCAATTATTTCAAAAATTAATTATAGCTATTTGATGAAGAAAATGATATGTCATTCACTCACTTAATGTTTTTTGTGACCGTCGTTTTCAATATATTTGTAAATATGTGCCTATATTGCGTTCTGGGTGAAATATTAATGACCCAGGTTAGTTGTATATACATGTAAATAAATTTATAATTAAATTCCTTAATTATTTTTGTGTACATTTAATATTGCTTAATTAATTCTATAAGCTATATTATGATAATGACTAATTGTTATTTAAATCTACAAACAATGTGTACAATAATTATATTAATCTAAAAATATTTTTAATATTTTCAAGTGCAATAAAATATATTATGCAGCATATAGCAACAAATGGTACACTCTAAATTCGAAAATTGTAGAAAATTTATTCTTTTTAATGACAAGAGGTTCTAAACCAATCTATCTCACTGTTGGGAAAGTGTCTCCTGTTACAATGGCCACATTTTGCAGCGTAAGATATTTTAATATTTGACTTTGACTATCATGTTAAAATAATGGTGTCACTAAAA